CGCCGCCGCTGCCCGGCCACACGGTGGGCAGCTCGCACACCACGCAGAGCTTCCCGGCCAAGCTCCACTCGTCGCCCCCCGTCGTGCGCCCGCGCCCCAAGAGCGCCGAACCCCCGCGATCGCCGCTCCTCAAGCGCGTGCAGTCGGCGGAGAAGCTGGGCGCCTCTCTGGGCGCCGACAAGAAGGGCGCGCTGCGCAAACACAGCCTGGAGGTGGGCCACCCGGATTTCCGCAAGGACTTCCACGGCGAGCTGGCGCTGCACAGCCTCGCCGAGTCCGACGGCGAGACGCCGCCCATCGAAGGGCCAGGGGCCGCTCGACAGGTCGCCGTCCGCCGCCTGGGTCGCCAGGAGTCGCCCCTGAGCCTGGGCACGGACCCGCTGCTGCCCGACAGCGCTCCCAGGCCGCCAGTGTCCAGCAAGGAAAAGGAATCGCCGGGCGGCACCGACGCCTGCACCCCACCCCGGGTGACAACTCCTGGGGGCCGGACCCTGGAGCGGGACCCCAGCTGCACGCGACACCAGAGCGTGCAGACGGAGGAGGGCGCCGGCGGCGTGGCCAGGGCCGTGGCCAAGGCCGCGCTGAGCCCCGTGCAGGAGCACGAGACGGGCCGGCGCAGCAGCTCGGGCGAGGCCGGCACCCCCCCAGTGCCCATCGTCGTAGAGCCCGCGCGACCAGGAGTCAAGGCCGAGGCGCCCCAGCCTCTGGGCACGAACTCCAAGGGATTACAGGAACCTGCACCCCAGGGGCCTCTGGCACCCGAGGCCCCGAGGGGCCGGGAGCGCTGGGTGCTGGAGGTGGTGGAGGAGCGGACCACTCTGAGCGGGCCCCGCTCCAAGCCCGCTTCCCCCAAGCTCTCCCCAGACCCCCAGACCCCGACCCCAGCCCCGACCAAGAATGCACCTGGTAGCACAGGCCCCGGAGCCCCCGCCGCTTCTCTCCTGGTCCCAGGCACTAAGCCGGAAGTAGGGCTCACCTCCTCCAGGAGCCCTGCGGAAGCTTTGACGCCGACAGCCCTGACCAAAAAAGGGGCGTCAAGCCCCGCACCCCCAGGCCCATAGCAGAAGCAGGCCCAGGCCGTTGGTCCTGTGCTGTACAGCCGCCTGTATACATATGTACACATATAAATAAAGTGCGTCTGTGCTGTGGGAGCTTTGGAGGACTCACCTGTGTTCCCCAGGCCAAGAGCAACACCCGACCTGCCTTCCCCTAGGCTCCCTTGATGGATGGGAAGTGGAACTCAAGTGCTAGGTACCACGGAGGAGGGGAGCTGAGTTAGGGGTGGGACCTTGCTATGGTCCACTCACTTCCTGTTTCTCACCTTCTCCAGGAAGATTGGTGCACAGATGGTCTGTGTCCCAGCATTCCCCTCTGAAGAGTTAATAGCGTGCTTCAGCGATTTCCTTTTACTCCTCAACCATCCTGAGTAGCACGTTATTCTCATTTTGCACACAAGTAGACTGAGGCACAGAGAAGTTAATGCACATAATTAAGATCATGCTGAACTAGAAGTCAAAGTCAAGTCCTGGCTGGACGTATGGTGGTACCGTGCATGCTTAGCATGCCTAAGGCCCTGGATTAAGTTGAATCTACACACACACACAAAAGTCAAGCTGGGTACTAGTGGCCCAGTCTTTAATGCTAGCTCCCCCAGAGGCTGAGAATGCAGGTTTGAAGCCAGCTCAGGCAACAAAGTTTGTGAGACTCATCTCCAGTTAACCACGAAAAAAACAAACTGGTAGTGGAGATGTGGTTCAACTGGTTGAGTGTCAGCCTTGATTAAAAAAAAAAACACAACACCCAGCTGAGCGTACCCAAGAGGCTGAGATCTGAGGATCACAGTTCAAAGTCAGCCTGGGCAGGAAAGTATAAGACTCTTATTGCCAGAAATCCAGAAGTGGCACTGTGGCTCAAGTGGTAGAGTGCTAGGCCAGAATGGTAGACTGATATAATGCCCAGGCCTTGAGTTCAAGCCCCACAACCAACCGAAAAAAAGGGAGGAGGGAAGAGCAAGTCCTAGAGTTAGAGCCCCCCCAGTACTAGTGCACATGCACATACAATCAAGTCTAAACCAGTTCTGAGTCTTAGTTCCTGGCGCTGCTGAGTTTCCAGGGCCTGTTCTCCTCTCCACAGGGTTTCCAGGCCTTGACCAGCGGCTGGAAGGCCTTCCAGAGGGTTGGTAGCTGGGCACACAGTGTGCCCCCACCTCGATGTTCCTCTCCTAGATTACGATTCATGTCACCAATGCAGGTCCAGGGCCCTTCCGGGGCCACGCACCATTTGGAATGGTCCTCTGTAGCCCTGAAGGTTGGCCCACTTGGTCCTGGGAAACCCGTCTGTGTCACATCCAGAATTTGCTGCGTCCCAGAGCAGTTGGAGGGCAAAATGCCTGGAGAGTTCTGCCAGAACTGGACGTGCAGGTCACTGCCAAGGGCCGCTGCCAACCAACCAGAGTACAAATCTGCAGAGGATGGAAAGAGGACACGGGCTGGGACGGAGACATTCCCCAGGCCACTGTCGCCTTCTGAGCTCAATTCTAAGCAATTTTTCTGTTTTCATTTCATGTGTGCCAATACTGTGGCTTAAGCTCAGGGCCTACCTAGGCACTGTCCCTTAGCCTTTTAGCTCAAGGCTGGCACTCTATCAATTAAATCACACTTCTACTTCTGGCTTTTTGCTGGTTAATTGAAAGTAAGTCACTTGGCCTTTCCTTCCCAGGCTGGCTTTGAACCCTGATCCTCAGATCTCACCCTCCCAAGTGGTTAGAATTACAGATGTGAGCCACCTGATGCTCAATAATTCTTGGGATGACATTAACACCCATTACTGAATACTCGATATTTATCACTTCATCAGTGTTGAGGTAAACATCAGTATCGCACTTTTCAAGCCAGTACACTAAGACTTAGTCAAGTTACATATCAGAAACCAACATATATTTTTTGATGGTATTGGGGTTTGAACTCAGCCTCAGGCTTGCTAGGCAGGCAGGCTTATCACTAGAGCCACACACAGGTCTTTTTTTTGCTTTAGTTATTTTTTTCTTGTGGGGGGGAGGTGGGGTCCTGGGGCTTGCACTCTGGGCCTGGGCGCTGTCCCTGAGCATCTTTTGCTTAAGGCTAACACTCTATCACTTGAGCCACAGAGCCACTTCGGCTTTTTTTTTTTTTTTGGTAATTTATTTGAGATCAGAGTGTCACAGACTTTTCTGCCTGGGCTGACTTCAAGCCACGATCCTCAGATCTTAGCCTCCTGAGTAACTAGGATGACACCAGTGCCCGGCCTCATGGTTTTTTGTGGGTTTTTTTTCCTTTTCTTTTTCCTTTTACTATCTTCTGACAGAGTTTTTCCTACCTCTACCTCCTGAGTAGCTGGAATTACAGGTATGAGTCACTATGACCAGTCCAGAAACCAATATTTGAACCCAATCTATATGCCAGACACTTCCCTCCTTCAAAGAAAGAACTCTCTTCTCCATCTCCCAACCTTAGGCTCACCATCTCCAAACTTGCCAGACTTGGCAAAGCTCTGGAAGGTAGACCCTGCCAGCGATGTAAGGGTCACACTGCTGTTCCAAGGTTCGTGGACAACTTGGTGGCCCTTGATGACTGCCTCCAGGTCAGGGAATTTCTGGGCAAATGTGTCTTCCAGCTTGTGGTCGAAGACCAGGGGATAGGTGTACATCAGCTGCCTGCCTGGAAGGTAAGGGGAGCGGGGAGGGGGGAGGGGAGAGCAGCCAGTCCAAGGTTTTTATAGTTGTTTGTGTGTTTTGGCGTACCAGGGATCGAAGCCAGAGACTCACACATGAATGCTGGGCTAACTGCTCTGTCACTAGCTCTACCCAAGCACGCCCTCCTTTTTTTGTGCACCAGTCCTGAGACTTGAACTTAGGGCTTGGGTCCTCTGCTTCTGGTATTTTGCTGGTGACTCAAACTGTCTCACTGACTTCCCTGCCCTGGACTACCTTCAAATCAAGATCCTTAGATCTCAACCTCCTGAGCTAGGATTACAGACCGGAGATCCCAGCACTCAGCTTGAGGCTTGAACTCAGGACCTAGTGTTTGTTAGTCAAGTGCTCTACTTCTTGAGCTCTGTCTTTAGCCCTTTTGTGCTTTCGCTACTTTTCAGGTAAAGTCTCCAGTTCTTGATCCTCCCACCTACAGCCTCTGAGTACATCACAAGTGTCCCCATCAAGCCTGGTTTTTTGACTGAGATGAGAGGGGAGGTCTCACTTAGCTTTTTGCCTAAATTGACCTTAAACTACGATTCTTAACATGCTCAAGCCACTTGGTTCTGCCTTTGGATTTTTTGAGATAGGGTCTCCCTACATAGCCCAGACTGGCCTCAAACATGCAATCCTCTTGCCTCAGCCTCCTGAGTACTGGGATTCCAGACACGCACCATAAAGTGTGGCCTAATCTGGGCATAATCAAGGTCTGATCTGGGAATCTGGGACTTACCCTGCTTTGCTGATTCTACTCACCAATCCTTAGGAACTCTTCCAAGGGAAAGGACACACAGATCAGAGTTTGCCCAAAGCTTTGGGCATTATGAGGCCAGCTGAAGGCACCAGATGACGCCGGTGGAGGGAAGCGTGGCACACTGTGGACCAGCCAGAAGCCCCCTTCCTGGTCCATGAGAAGGACCCCTGAGCCAAAAGATGGAAGATCAGAGGGACTATTCATTATGTCCCCCTCAAGCAAATCCAACCAAAACCAGGAAGAGCTTCAGTTCCCAATTCCTTTTTCAGTTCCCAATTCCTTTCTTTTGTTGTTATTGGTCGTGGAGCTTGAACTCTTGGGCACTGTCCCTCAGCAGTTCAGCTCAAGGTTAGTGCTCTACCATTTGAGCCACAGCACCACTTCCAGTTTTCTATTGGTTTACTAGAGATAAGAGTTTCACGGACTTTCCTGCCAGGGCTGGCTTTTTGAACTGTGATCCTCAGATCTCAGCCTCCTGAGTAGCTAGGATGACAGGCGTGAGCCATCCAGGCCCAGCCAGATCCCAATTCTTAACTCCTCCCTACTATCCCCCCCACACACACACTGGTCAAAAGTTAATTTGGAAAATGAGCGCCTCTCCAGCCTCCCCCCATATCTAAGCCTCACCCTTGGTATGTCCACGGCTGCTGGTGGAATCCTTAGCCAAGCTGGATTTGGGTGGCTGGTCATTATACAGCAGGAAGGCGAGCTGGGAGCAACATAGGGGCAGCTTGAAGATCCCCCCCATTCTCTGTTGGGGTCCCACCCAACAGTCCCCGGCCCCCAGGTTCTGCCAGGACCCGGTCACCTGGCTGGCATTATTGCGGTACAGAGGCAGCAGGCTGCGGCCCACGGCTCCCTCGGAGCTGTTGATGGACCCCACGCCGTCGCGCCAGCCCCCCGAATTCTCGTCCAGGTATTTGTACCGTAGCCCCCTCCCCGGTGCATCCCCGGACCCGCTATGGGCCGGCAGCTTGTACACTACGAACCTGGAGGTTGAAGAAGGCACAGATGCAGATAAGAGAGAGAGACAGACACAGAGAGAGAATCCCTAGTGTTCCGCGAGCAGTTCAGCTATCCCGGGGGCTCCCCAAGCTCACCAGTCCACAGGCTGTCCCGAGTCCCCAAAACAGCGCAGGGCCCCCGCAGGGACCCACAGCAGGGCGCACAGCAGCACAGGGCTCGGCGACATCCTGTGGGTGCCGCTGCAGGGAAGGGTCTGCTGCGGGGCCCCCGAGGAGCGGGTCACGAGCGGCCCAGTAGGGCGAGTACTTCCCCAAACTCGCCTGGGAACCTGGGCCCGGACGCGGCCAGGACGCAGACTCCGCCCCGGAGACCGAGTCCTCGGATTCGGAAGGCGGAGTCCTCGGTGGGCGTGGCTTCCCCACGGTCTGCCCCGCCCCGACAGCCGCGGCCTGGACACGCCCATTCTGTCTCTGATTGGGCTTTCCCAAGCCCCGCCCTATACTCTCTTCCCTCCTTCCTTTTTTTCCCCCTTGCTTCCTCCCTCCTCTTTTCTCCCCCTCTTCCGGTCCCTGCCCCTCTCCCTTTCTCCCCTGCCCCTCCTTTCCCCTATCCCTCTCCCTGGCCTCATTTTGCCGCCCAGGAGGTTAGCTTGTCGTCCATGCAGACCTGGACATTGTGAACCTTTTATTTTTTACTGCTTCCCAAATGCTGGGGTTACCGGCGCGGACCACCGGGCCCACCTGGGTCCAATTCTTGTCATCTCTGTTTACTTAAGAGGTGGTAATGATCCGATATCCCCCCCCCCATTTCAATTCTCAATTTTGTCTCAGGCTACCTACTCCTGAGTTAAGACTATGAGGAAGATTTGGGGTTGAAGTCAGGGTTCTCCAGTCAGTGAAAGGGAGGTCCCCAGTTATTGAGACAAGATGGTGTGTTCTGAAGGGGGACCCTGCAAAGCCTGCAGTGCTCGGGGCTCATTGGAGATGGGTGGACATGGGGGCAGGGGGTGCTGTTGAGGCTTAGGAGGTGAGGGTGTATGTCCTCCAATATCACCTCCGGGGGTTCATTCTTTCCCCTGCTTCCAGTCCCCTAAGCCCACAGACTCGGGCCAACACTGAAGTTTTTATGAGGGGCTTATTTATAGAATCCATACACATTCACAGTTGATATGGAATTCCTGTGGGTCACAGCATGAAATCCCCTCTGAGCCCAAGGTCTCTGGGAAAGCCTCGTCCCTCTCCCTCCCCGCCTGTGAGCTGATCTGAGGGTCCATCTCAGTCCAATTATCGGTGGTCTGGCGCTTGTAGCTCGGGACTAGGAGGGAGGGGCGTTATCCATCGAAAACTCCCTCAGGTTTGTCTATGACCTTAGATCGGTGGGTCCACAAGTCCAAGCAAGGGACGGTCAGTCCTTGAAAACAGCCGGCGTGAATCCACTGGTATTCCCTGGCAGTATCGGGGTACCGGGGTGGGACTCAAAAATGGCGCTTCATGTGCAAGGCCAAGTGATCGGAACGCGAGAAGGCCCGGGAGCAGAACTGGCAGCCGAAGGGGCGCTGTCCTGTGTGCTTCCGGAAGTGGCGGGTCAGCTCATCCGAGCGCGCGAACTTCCAGCCACAGTTGTCCCAGGAACAGGCATAGGGCTTCTCTCCTGGAGAGGGGCGAGGAAGCTGTGAGGGCCAAGGGCTGAGCCACGCCTGTACGTAAGCCCTGTGTTCTGTGTTCTAACTTCCTTCATCAATTACTGCCCCCAAACCAGTCTTTCTCTGTGTGTGTGTGTGTGTGTCAGTCAGTGCTGGGTTTTAAACTCAGCCTGGTCGCTGTCTGGAGCTTTTTTCTGTTCCAAGCTAACAGTCTACCACTTGAGCCACACCTCCACCTTCTGCTGTTTTGCTGGTTAATGGAAAATAATCTCGCCTGGGTTGGTTTCCAAAGGTGATCCTCCGATCTCAGCTTTCTGAGTAGCAGGGATTACAGGCCTGAGCTGAAGTAAGGAGCTCAGGTCTGCCCGGGGCCATATTGGCCACATGGTGGATGGTAGGGTCTGGCATCTTGTCTTCATGCTGGGAAAAGGAACCCCCCTCCCATCACCTGCCTCCCAGGTAATGGGCGTGCCCGGACCCCGGGAGGCGGGGCAGGCACTAGGCTGATAGGTTCCTGAGTCTGTCAGTCCAGTGCCTGGGGCTGGGAATTTCCTGAGGATCCTCCGGGCGGACCTAGCTGCCAGGACACCATGCCACGTGTATCTCTGTGATCGTCCCCAGTCATCAAGGACTCCCAATTCAGCTCTCCACTGGGGCTGAATTGCCTTGTTGGTATTGTTTTTGTTATTTCTTCCCTCTTTAGCATGTTTCCTAGTTGTGTTATGTGTATTTGTTATGTGTTTTTGCGGCCTGTTAACTATATAATAAAGACCCCAATATTCTGTATTTTAAAATGTGGCTTCTGGGATGAGTTATCTTACAATAGAGTCACATCGGTGCCCACCTGCTTTCTCCAGTGTTCTCACACCAATGGGGCCAACTTTACCATTGACCTTGGTCTAGGAGGCCCTGAAGTCCACCTGATTCTTCCAGACCTATCTTCAGGGATTAAACTCTCCCCTTGCTACGTCTGGCCCCAGCACCCTGCGCCCTGGGGACTTGGATTCCCCTATATCCTTTTGTCTCCTAGATCCTTCTTTTCCCCTAGGCCTGCCAGTGCTTCCGGATCCCAACCTGAGCTAGCCACTCTGAAAACCGATCTGCTCAGGCATTTCACACGTCCTCCCGGGGTCCCAGCCCCGCCTCCCCCCCCCCCACGTCGGCCTCCGCTGCACTAACAAGCTCCCTCAGCCACCCTCCTTCCAAAGCTTGTGCCCGGCTTGAACACCGCTCCTCGTGTCGTTTGTCTAGCTTTCGGCCCCTCCGCCCAACCTTGGCTTTAGGTCTGACACTTCAGCTCCCAGAAGTTTCCAATCCTCTAGGGCCCGGACTCCGGAGTTGGGATCCTAGAAGCCCCCGCGGCTCTCTTGGCTCCACCCCTTGTAGTAGGATTCGGACATTAGCTCCGCCCCTCACGCCCCGGTGCCACGCCTCCGGCCACGCCCCTCCGCCTCCGGCCACGCCCCTTACCCGTGTGCGTGCGCAGATGCGCTTTCAGGTGCGAGCTCTTGGTGTAGCGCTTGCCGCAGCCCGGGTACTCGCATGTGTGCGCCGCCTGCCCCCTGAGCGCCGCCTGCCTCTTCAGCGCCCCCGAGCGCTGGCTGCGTTTGGGGACCGCGGCTTCGGAGGTCACGCTGGGGTCGGCTGCGGTGCCCCCGAGTCCGGTGCCGATCGTACCCGGTCCCAGACAACCCAGAAAAGACGGGGCTGCGGCGGGGCCCGGGGAAGGCCGGAAGAGCTGGAAGTGCCCTTGGTACTGAGGCGCCGCCGGGTACAGCGCCGGGTACCCCGAGAGCAGCCCGTAGGGCGCGCCCGGGCCCGCGGGCACCGAGAACCCGGTGCGTGCAAAGTAGCTGGCCGAGGAGCTCGCACCCGGCTCGGGGTACCCTGGCTGCAGCGGCAGCGCCTTGAGATCGGGGGCCGGGGCCACGAAGGGGTCGGGCGTGGGGGGTCGCGGGGCGGGCTGTCCCCACCCCGCGTGCTCCTCGGGCCCCAAAACCCCGGCCGCCAGCCCCGGGCCGCCCGCATAGGCGCCCAGACTCTGGGGCGGAGGCGGGTACGGCCCCCCTGGGCCCTCACCGGGCGCGGGCGCACCGGGGCGCGGCACCCCGCCCAGCTCCGGCCCCGGGAAGTTGGTGAGGAAAAGATCTAGGTCCCAGGTGCAGGCCGCGTCCCTCTCATCGTCTTGGTGCTGCCCGGGAGGGTCGTCCGACTTCAGGCCTGCGTGAAGGGGCAGCCCCATGGGGTCCGGGGGGCCCGGGCCCATGTCCTGTGCCTCGTCGGAGCGCCACCACTGCGGGCGGGGGGGGGGAAGGGGGAGGGATTCGGAGTTAGGCCTCCATGGATCCCGGGAGTACCCTGTCCAGGGACAGTGCCTGCTGGACACCCTGGCAAAGCTGCAGAAAATGGGGTCCCATTTGCCTATCTCTCCCCCATAGGGCCCCCCACCCCCACCCCTCCGACAGCCCCAGACAGATCCATCAAGTTTGGCTGGAGACGTGAGATAAGCTCTCATTATCTAGAGCCACATTCGGGATGGGGGAAGGGGTGGCAGGGCTGTTTGGGGGAAGCTGTTGAGGGAAGGACACCAAGCCTCGACTCAGTTTCCCCCCTAAGCCATCTCCTTCCCCATCTCCCTTCCCAACAGGGTGAATTCCCAAACCCTGGAACCTCCCCTCCACACACACAGAAATATTTACCATTCACCTCGCCCCTGATAACTTGGTTTGGTCCTTCCGAGCCTGGGTCAATACTATGTCGATTTTTTATTTGGGGGGATTTTTTTTTTTCTGAGACAGGATCTTAACTGTAAAGCTCAGGTGAACTTTTTTTTTTCTTTTCTTTTTTTTTGCTGGTCCTGGGACTTGAACTCGGGGCCTGGGCGCTGTCCCTGAGCTTCTTTTGCTCAACGCGAGTGCTCTACCACTTGAGCCACAGCAGCACTCTTACAGCTTTTTTGAGTTTATTGTAGATAAGAGTCTCTGGGACTTTCCTGCCAGTGTTGGCTTTGAACCACAATCCTCAGATCTCTGCCTCCTTAGTAGCTAGGGTGACAGGCGTGAGCCACCAATGTCCAGCCTAGCCTCAATTCCTGATCCTCCTCCTCTTCTTCCCACCTCCGCATCTCACATTCTGGGATTCCAGCCTGTACCACTATGCCCAGCTCCACAACTCAAGTTTTCTATTACAAAAATGGGCCCCACCTAGAGCCTCAAACCCTTAGAAGCCCCTCACCCATAGATCAGGCTGAGAGCCTTGCCCACATCAGAGGAAATCAAGAAAAGAAGCAGTCCCCACCCCTGGGCCCCCACTTGGCCCTACCTTAAGGATGTCCTCCTGGCCGTCCTGAAAGGGGCCCAGGGTGGCCATTGTGCTGAGAGAAGGCTGGGCGGTCTCAGCTCCAGCCATGGCTGGCGATGCCCACCCTGGGCCTCAGACCTCCTCACTCTCTACCGCCTCGTGGGCTCTGAGGCTCTGTGGGCCCCTGGAGGGCTCCTCTCTGCCCTGGGATGATTGGCTACAGCCTCTGATAAGACCCAGGCAAGGCGGGGAGGGGGGGTCAATTTCAGGGGGAGGGGGGGAGAACAGACCTCACTTTAGTCTGTTTGGAGCTAGGCCTTAAAGACAGATTCTGTATCCAAAGCCAAGTCAGATGTCAGGGGCTGCGGGAGGAGGGGGCACAAGGCTTGAAGGCTTAAGAACTGGATAGGAAGAGACACAAGTGTTTGAAGGGTGAGAGGTTTCAGAGGGGGTGGTTCCTTGGAAAAGGGGCAACAGGAAGGGGTGGGTATATGAGGGAATGGTCTGTGGGATTCTCTGATCCCTCCCCCAACTGCAGCCCCTCTTGCTCTCCTCAATAAGCAGCCACAGCCATATGGATGGTGGGACTTGGCATGAACTCACTGCCAGTATTATCAAACACACCAGATGTTGGAGGGCACTATCAGGTGGAGGCCCAGAGCAGCCGATGCTCCGTCCCTCCAAGTTAAGTGTGTGTGTGAATTAGCTTAGCTTGGGAGGGAGGCTGTAAAGTCCCAGGGCCTGAGTCTTCTCCCTCCTCACCAGGAGAGAAGGGATCTCCTGCAATTAGTCCCTACCTGGAGTTCTATGGCAGATGTAGTTGAAATTAGGGTTCCTACAGGATGAGGGGGCTCCTAGGAGTGAAAGGACATACCTGCCCTACAGGGGACCCTTACTCTGGCTCCTGGCCTGGCTGCTTGCTAGGTTTGCTATCTCCAAAAGATCTGCCAAAAAGCAGATCTGGAGGTATGGCTCAAATGGTAGAACACTAGACGAACAAGCAAGCTGTACAGGCTAGAGGCTATGAGTTCAAGCTCCAGTACTAGCTAAAATAAGATCAAGTCAGGTACCAGCGGCTCACGCCTGTAATCCTAGCTACTTAGGAGGGTCTGAGGATCAAGGCTCAAAGGCAGTCGGGCAGTAAAGTCCATGAGACTCATTACCAATTGACTATCAAAGTGGAGCTGATGGCCAGGAATGTAGCTCAAGTGGTAGAGCTCTAGCTTGAGCAAAAGAAGCTCAGGGACAGTGCCCAGGCCCAGAGTTCAAGCCCCAGGACTGGCAAAAAAAAAAAAAGCGAGGCACCAGTGGATCATGCCTGTAATCCTAGCTACTCAGGAGGCTGAGATCTGAGAATCTTGAATAGTGGTTCAAAGCCAGTCTGCACAGGAAACTTCAAGAGCCTCTAATCTCCAATAAACTACACAAAAAAAGCCAGAAGTGGAACTGTGGTTCAAGTGGTAGAACACTGGCCTTGAGCAAAAGAAGCTCACAGATAGTGTCTAGTCCTCACGATCAAGCCCCAGGACCGGGGGGGGAGGGGGGGGAGGGGGCAGTAAAGCTGAGGCTCAAGTGGTAGAGCACTAACCCTGAGTGGAAAAGCTAAGGGGCAGCACTCAGGCTCTGAGAATGAACACCAAGTAACGGCCTGGCTGGGAAGGAGACGTTTCAAAGAGGAGGCAGAGGTCTGGGAGAAGCTTCCTGGTGTAGGATTGGTTATGTTAGGTTCTCAGGCTAGGCAAGAGGACAAAGGTCAGGGGTCAGGAGTGGCATCTGTCTGTAAGACAAGGCCTGGGGGAACATGTGCCTAGTAAGATGTTCCTTTCTTTTGCTTTTGCTTTTATCTGATACCCAATAAGCAGCATAGAACTCCAGCACCAACTCACATCGACTCAAAGTGGATTAAAAACCTCTACATCAGGGCTGGGAAGGTGGCTCAGTGGTAGAGCACTTGCCTTGCATGCCTGAGGCCCTGGGTTCGATTCCTCAGCACCACATGAGCAAAAAGAAAAAAGCCGGAGGTGGCGCTGTGGCTCAAGTGGTAGAGGCTCGCCTTGAGCTGAAGAGATGAGGGACAGCGCCCAGGCCCAGAGTTCAGGCCCCACGACCGACCAAAAAAAAAAAACAACAACCTCTACATCAGACTGAAACTCTGAAACTACTACAAGACAGAGCAAGAGATACATTAGAACTTATTGGCACTTCCCGACTAGAGTGCCAGGGGCACAGCAGATAGGAGAGAGATTTGACAAATGGAATTACCTTAAAATAAAAAGTTTCGGCTCAGCTAAGGACATAGCTACTAAACTACAATGACAGCCAACCAATTGGGAAAAGATCTTTACCAGCAATACATCAGACAAAGGCCTAATATTCATATATATAAGAAGCTCAAGAAACCAACCCTCCCAAACCTAATAAACCAGTCACTAAATGGGTAATGGAGCTAAGGAGAGACTTCTCAGAAGAAGAGGTAAAAATGGCAACGAAACACCGGAGGAAATGCTCTTTATCCCTGGCCACAAAGGTAATGCAAATCAAAACAACCCTGAGATTCCAGATCTTTTTTTTTTTTGTCAGTCGTGGGTCTTGAACTCTGAGCCTGGGCGCTGTCCCTCAGCTCTTCAGCTCAAGGCGAGAGCTCTACCACTTGAGCCTCAGTGGACTTCTGGTTTTCTAATGGTTTATTGGAGATAAGAGTTTCACAGCCTTTCCTGCCCAGGCTGGCTTTGAACTGTGATCCTCAGCTCTCAGCTTCCTGAGTAGCTAGGATTACAGGTGTGAGCCACCAGCACCCAGCTTATACTGGATTTTAGACACTCACCTACAGTAAGACCAAAAGAGGATAGTCTTAGGAGAAAATCACCAAGGTAATATCCAAGGCCCTCTTCATATGTATATAAAATAATATACATACTGAAACAAACTCCAAAGATATGGAAACAAAGGACCTTTTTCTTAGTTTTTCCCTTTTCAGATGACTCTGTATTCTTTACTTCATATAAGGTATATACACATGCACATTTGAGGGACGGTCAGGAGAGGGCACAGAATCAGTGGAAAGTGCAGCAGTGGAGCCCACTGGCTGCACTGGACATTCATGAAATTGAACCATGCAACTGGTAGGCAGAGATGGAGGGAGGAATGGGAGAGGAAGAGGAACAGATGATACTATGCAAAAGGAAATGTACTTATTACCTAACATATGTAAAGGTAATCTTGCTGTATATCACCTCTAAAACAACAATAGAGCTGGGAATGTGGCTTAGCGGTAGAATGCTTGCTTAGCATACATGAAGCCTTGGGTTCGATTCCTCAGCACCACATACACAGAAAAAGCCTGAAGTACGCTGTGGCTCAAGTAGTAAGTAGAGGGCTAGCCTTGAGTAAAAAGACAGTGCCTAGGCCCTGAGTTCAAACCCCAGGACTGGCTAAATAAAGAAATTCTTAAAAATGAAATAGAGGTTCTGGGAAAGTGGCTCAGTGGTAGAGCGCTTGCCTTGCATGCCTGAGGCCCTGGGTTCGATTCCTCAGCACCACATAAGCAGAAAAAGCCAGAAGAGGTGCTGTGGCTCAAGTGGTAGAACACTCACCTTGAGCTGAAGAGCTGAGGGACAGCGCCCAGAGTTCAGGCCCACAACCAAAAAATTTAAAAAAATAGAAACAACTCCAACAACTTTAAAAAATAAAATAAGAACTCAGGAACCAGCTTCAACAAAAGAGGCTCTTGGGGAAAGGATGGAGTGGAAAGAAAGAAAGCTCACTAGCTGTAGGAGAAGGGACTTGACCTGGAGATCTGAGCTGAATGCACAGTTGCTGGGTGGTGGATTTTCTGTTGTGTGAGAAGGTTAGGCATTTCATTTGGATTTTTTTTTCCCAGCAATCATGGGGCTTGAACTCTGGGCCTGAGCACTGTCCTTGAGCTCTTCAGTTCAAGGTGAGTACTCTACCACTTGAGCCATAGCACCACTTCTGGTTTTCTGGTGGTTCAGTGTCTCACAGATGTTCCTTCCCAGGCTGGCTTTAAACCATAATCCTCAGGTCTCAGCCTCCTGAGTAGCTAGGGTTACAGGTGTGACACACCGGCACCTGTCCTGGATTTTTTTTTTTTTTTTGTCGGTTATGGAACCTGAACTCTTGGCCTGGGCACTGTCCCTGAGGTCTTTAGCTCAAGGCCAACACTCTACCACTTGAGCCACAGTGCCACTTCCAGCTTTTTCTGCTTATGTGGTGTTGAGGAATTGAACTCAGGGCCTCATGCATGCAAGGCAAGCACTCTACCACTGAGCCACCTTCCCAGCCCCTGGATTATCTTTTTTGACGGTACTAGAATATCTCCTTGAGCATTCTAGACAGACCCATGACCTCAGTCTTTTCTCTTTTTTTCTTTTCCTTAAGGGTTTTTTGTTTTGTTTGCTTGCTTCTTTGCTTTCATGTTGGTCCTGGGGCTTAAGCTCAGCATCTAGAGCTTGTGCTCAAGGCTAGTGCTCTTCCATTTGAGCCATGATTCCATTTCCAGGTTAATTGCAGACAAGAGACTCATGGACATTCTTGCCTTGGCTGGTTTTGTATGTGTGCCTGCACGTGTGTGTGTATGTGTGTGTGTGTTTGTACACTGATCCTGGGACTTGAATTCAGGGCCTGGATACTGTCCCTGAGCTTTTGTAGTCAAGGCTAGTTAGTGCTCTACCACTGTGAGTCATTTCCAACTTTTTTGGTAGTTAAGTAGAGATAAAAAGTCATAGGGCGGGGAAGTTGGCTCAGTGGTAGAGCGCTTGCCTTGCATGCCTGAGGCCCTGGGTTCGATTCCTCAGCACCACATAAGCAAAAAGAAAAAAGCCAGAAGTGGCTGTGGCTCAAGTGGTAGAGTGCTAGCCTTGAGCTGAAGAGCTGAGGGACAGCGCCCAGGCCCAGAGTTCAGGCCCCACGACTGGACCCAAAAAAAAAAAAAAAAAGTCATACTGAGGGGCTGGGGAGGTGGTTCAGTGGTAGAGCGCTTGCCCTGAATGCTTGAGGCCCTGGGTTTGATTCCCCAGCACCACATAAGCAAAAAGAAAAAAACTGGAAGTGGCGCTGTGGCTCAAGTGGTAGAGCATTAGCCTTGAGCTAAAGAGCTGAGGGACAGCGCCCAGGCCCAGAGTTCAGGCCCCA